GCCTCAGGTGTGCTGCAGACTTGGTAATTTGTTATAAAATATCACCATCGCAATACCTTCTTCTTAGATTAAGAGGTAGTAGGAGTTCTCTTTCCTCCTCTTCTTCTTCTTCTTCTTCTTCTTCTTCTTCTTCTTCTTCTTCTTCTTCTTCTTCTTCTTCTTCTTCTTCTTCTTCTTCTTCTTCTTCTTTCTTCAGTTAACACAGAAGAGATGATTTATTGTACATGCTTTACACTCAGCCAAAAGCGAGAACAGAAGTAGTCCAGAATGCCACAGGTCCAGGGCAAAAATCCAGAGGACTGCTTAGCTTGAACCAGGTGGATCTCTCTTTGAGGTGGTCTTGGCAATCAGATGGCAGTGAAGTCCTAATCCATGGAGACATTCTGGACAGCATGCCATCCAAAACTTGCAGCAGCGTTGTCAGCCTCCAGCCTCCTTTATTTCTGCTCCTTTGCCCTCCATGGGTGTACGAGCTATTTTACTTGGACCTCTGTCTCATCCTTCTTCTTTTACACTTCAGTCTGTGCATTCGCTTCTTCCTCCACTTGGCTCTCAAGGCGCAGAGGTTTCTAAGAAGATGGTGTTAAAGTCCTCCTTGAACTTCTTCTAATTGATATTTTACTCAGATGTTTTAGGCCCTGTTCTAGGGTGTATTCCTGGCACCAGAATTGGGCTACAGGGCTTGAAGGTTTCTCACAGTCCTGTACTGCAAGGAGAGTAGGTGATGGTGCTGGGAACAAAGAAGCCCTGGTGTTCTCGATTACTTGGCTGGGATTCTAATCTTGCAAGCTCTGCAGTAATAAGACAGCTGCAAATTTACAAATATAACTCACTTTATGCCCCTGTAGGCCCATTCGCAGCTTTGGATTTCTAATAACTAATATGGTCACAAAACCTTTGCTAGTAAAAAGAAATGTGCAGTAACAAATAGCATAAATGATTGAAATATGTTCTATTTGTTTTCTCACTTCTTCATGGGCCCAGTAAGTACCATGCATATTGAATAAGGACATCACCTTTAAAAAGAGCATTATTAGATCAATTTGTTCTATAACTTAGACTACTACTGTACTCTTTTATTTTTTTTTGTCCACTTGCTCTATCAATTACTGAGAAGTTAGTGTTGCAGTCTCTTTTTATTTTTTATTTATTTGGCACAGGGTCTCAGTACACAGCTCAGACTCAACGTGATCTCCTGTTTCAGCCTCCCCAGCACTGAGATTATAGGTGAGTGACACCACCCCCAGTCTTGATGGCTGGCTAGGCTGCCTTGTGTTACCGGGGTTTCAACTCGTGTCCTAGGCAGGAGATTAGACCTCTGAGCTATCTCCATGGCCCCTGTGTTGCAGTTTCTAACTATGTTGCTGTGTTTATTTTTTGTAGTTTTTCCAGTTTTGTTTTATATATTTTGAAGCTTTGTTATTAGTACATAAATACTTATAATCTGCACTTCCTCTTGAGTATTATATACTTTTGTTACATTAAAATGAACTTTATGATTTCTGATAATATTTGCTTAACAATCTACCTTTTCTCTCTCTCTCT